TCTACACTTTCTCTCTATTACCATATTATTTACAATCATCTCCGAATTTCTATTGTACAGAGACCACTGCCTCAAACACGCATATCCACTCGGCTATATTTAGGAGAAGTATATTATTCCCACTCTTCCAATCCTGATGAGTTTCCACATCCAAATAAACGCAGCTTTAAAACCTCTTTATGCTCTGGGTGACCGCAGCAACGGGAAGTTCAGAACATCTTTCCACATCCTAACGTTGTCCTAACATCAGATTGTTTACTATTGTTTGACAGTTCGTTGTTTGAATGAATGTCTACGTGGCTTTTTGACGACCAGTTCTGATGAGGTCTTGAAGACTAGTTCAGGTGAGGTGTGAGGCAAATGGACTGAATAGACATTTGTTTGTGACTTGATAAAGGCCATTTTGTGGGTGGAAAGTTGTCAATAAAGGGTAGCATTATACTGTATTTTGTGTCGCTTTTTCCGTGTGGTGAGGTCTTGTCGACCAAGTTTAGTCAGGTCTTCCTGGGCAGGTATACCTCAGGGAAATAATACCTTTCCATCTCTTTTCTATTCTTCTGTTGGTGTACAGGTAACTTGTAGACTTCTATGCTTAAAACCTATAGGTTTTAAACATAAACAAAACTGTAAAATATAGAAAACTCACGTTTTAACTCGCGTTCATTAAGGCAACTGTGAGTGGAAGACCAGGGAGGGAGAAAGTCATGCTATGAATCTTCAGGAATCTGGCCATAAGAATTATAATTTACGTATCTACCGGGAATTGCTAATCCCGTAATGGGTCATGCAGTTTCTCTCCTTACCTCAAACACCTAGATATAACACGACAGTTGCTCATCAGGGTAAGAGTAAATAGTTCTCAGCTGACATCCTCTGCGTGAACTTACAAATCTTCTCATATCTGTGTTTCCTATGTATTCTTATCTACGTCGTGTACATCTTTAGAATGAGGAAGCTATCAGGTTTGATCCATAGAAATAGGCCCAATCGCTCGTATCAAGAGCTCTTGCAGGGTGATGGTAAGGAACCAATGAGGTGTCGGCTGCGTGTGGCCGACACTGCGTGACTAGAGGCAGTTTAGTCCCCTCCTACTGTCTTGTTGACGATAATTAATCCATTACAGTGCCGGTAATACCTCGGTGATCAGTGGGGAGCCCACGCCACTAGATTCCGACGTGCCTATTACCTTTTAATTACCCTGAGAGCGGCGCCACTGTGGCAGGATATATTTGTTTGATTAATGCCACCTAGTGTGTCTTTATGGAGGTGCTACGTTTTATTAAGGTCACCTAGTGTGTCCTTATGAAGGTGTTAACTTTGATTAATGCCACCTGGTGTGTTCTTACAAAGGTGCAGCTATTGACTGCAGTCACCTGGGGTAATCTTACATAGGTGCAACGTTTTCCCTGAAGCCACCTGGTGAGCTACAGATGTCATTTTGAAGATCAGGTGTATGATTGATGTCAGCAGACTAATGAAGTATTTCCTGATGTCCTTGAGGATCAATTCTGCTAAAACATCCATATATGTCCTCTTCACCCACATCCAAACCTTTCAAACTGGCCCAGTTCCTATTGTAAAGTCATCTGAATTCCTTGAGATACCACTGCCACATGTGTCCTCGGATTACGAAAAAAACATCCAGCTTGCCTGGATGCGTGATCTTTGAAGGACCACTGGCTCAGTGGTAAAGTGACACGTATGTTGTGTTGGCTCTGGAGGCGGGACAATGTTCGTGGTGTCGAATCCTGGCCTATCGCAGTTAGGTAAATTATATATATATATATATATATATATATATATATATATATATATATATATATATATATATATATATATATATATATATATATATATTATATACATATATATATATATATATATATATATATATATATATATATATATATATATATACATATAAAAGGTTATGGTGTTTAATTCTATAGACTAAAACTATACTTACGGCATTTTACTTTAAGTATAAGATTCTATAGTTTGTGACAAAATGCACAGAAAACGAAAATACTCATCTTGTCACACCAGAATACATTCCAAAGTATTTACATTATTACACAAGAGTACAATCCATAGGACCTAGTTCATTATACCTGAGTACACGACATAGATAACTAGGAATTTGTGGGGGAATGTATAAATGAAATAATGTATAAATTACGTTTTTAGAAGAACCCAAAGAGAAAGTGGTATGATAAAGTGGTGTAGATAAAGGCGAAAAGAGGGATGGATAAACATATGAGAAGAAATACACGAACGTGAATAGTGTACTAGATAAACACTGGGAATGGGACATATTAACATGGAATAGCCATAAGTTATTTGAGAAATGAGGAATAATTAATATAGAAAGGGAGGGATAGATTAGCATAGGAAATGGGAGATAGATTTCGTGGATCAAGGGTCCTTCAGGGCATCAAGGCCCTCCCTTCCTTTCCCTTAAAGGTAATCTTATGCTAATATAATCCAATTACCTTTTCAGGATCCTTGAGAAAAGGAGTAGAGTCTAGTGGCACTCCCGGCGGCAGCAGCGGTGGCAGTATAGGCGGTGGTGGCAGCGGCAACGAAGCGGGTGGCGGCACTGCCGCTGGCGGCATCGGCGGCAGCGGCGGTGGTGGCGGCGGCGTCGGTGGCACTATGTTGGGGGGTGGAGTGGGTGGGGGCGGGAGTCGTGTGGCGGGGGTTGGAGGAGGAGGTGTGGTGGGAATGGTGAGCTCTGTAGATGACGGGTCCTTTGGCTCCTGTAATGGTGATCTTCTCACCACCTCCTCCAGAGACTCTCTACTGGGTCCTCGTAGCAAACCAGTGAGTGAGTGTGTGTGTGTGTGTGTGTGTGTGTGTGTGTGTGTGTGTGTGTGTGTGTGTGTGTGTGTGTGTGTGTGTGTGTGTGTGTGTGAGTGTGTGTGTGTGTGTGTGTGTGTGTGTGTGTGTGTGTGTGTGTGTGTGTGTGTGTGTGTGTGTGTGTGTGTGTGTGTGTGTGTGTGTGTGTGTGTGTTTGCAAAAGTGAATAAGTGGGAGTTTGAGTGAATAAGTGAACGAGTGAGAGTGTGAGTGAAAATGTTTGTGTAATAGTAAGTGAGTGAGTCTGTGAAAATGAGCTGATGTATAGGTGTGAATAAGTGAATGTGTATGTGTGTAAGTGAATAAGTGTATGAGTGAATGAGTGAATGTGTATGTTTAAGTAAATGAGTGAATGTATATGTGAGTGAATGTTTATAGGAGTAAGTGAGACAAATTATTAATGAAATATATAACTATTTTCTTAAAATAGCAATAGTTGCAGTGATTATTATTATTATTATTATTATTATTATTATTATTATTATTATTATTATTATTATTATTATTATTATTATCTGGTGCAGAACTTTTCCAAAAAAATAAGTGTGTGGAAAATTTATGTAATCTCTAATCCCTGTACAGTGATTGGGAATAAAAATACTTTCCATTAGGATTAGACTCAGTCGTTGATCATTAATCAAGAGGAAATGATCGATAATAATTACTCCATGATTATTATTATTTCTATGATCATTAATTATTATTGCCATTATTATTATTACTATTATTTTCACGAAGCTAGAAGCTATTGTCGATTAATTATTGAGCGCAAGGAGGCTCGATCCTCCGTTCGCTAAACGCGAGAAACTGTTCTCGCAGTCAGGCCTTTACAACTAATTTAGTTCTCTCAGGAGCGTTCTCTCCCACAGGGTGAGATGCTGGAAACCTTCCGAGGAGGCAGTACCACGCTACCTATCCTTGGAATACAGCAGTTAGGAGACGACATTGGACGACATGTAGTGCTTGAAGGTGGGTTAGGGGTTGGTAGTTTTAGTGTGATGCTAGTGATTGTGATGGTGGTGGTTCTAGTGGGGTAGTAGACGTGATGTTGGTACTAGTTATAGTGATAGTGATGGTGGTAAATGATCAATAGGTATTGTCCAGTGTGGGTAGATTGGTAAAGCACTGCGTACCTTTTCCTAAGGTTCGTAGGTTCGAGTCTCCTTCAGCCAGAGATCAGTGTTTGTGTATATTTCGCCTGCTCTTGCGAATTCCTTGCATTGTTAAAATCTCTAGTAAGGCTGATGCATGCAGGGGATGAGATGAAAAGCTGTAAGCCTTCTCCCTGAAAGCTGGCTGCCTTGGATCAAACGTGTAGCGCAAGCTACACGCCTAGGTATTGTCCAGTGTGGGTAGATTGGTAAAGCACTGCGTACCTTGTCCTAAGGTTCGTAGGTTCGAGTCTCCTTCAGCCAGAGATCAGTGTTTGTGTATATTTCGCCTGCTCTTGCGAATTCCTTGTATATATATATATATATATATATATATATATATATATATATATATATATATATATATATATATATATATATATGTGTGTGTGTGTGTGTGTGTGTGTGTACTCACCTAATTGTGGTTGCAGGGGTCGATTCATAGCTCCTGGCCCCGCCTTTTCATTGGTCGCTGTTAGGGTTCACTGGTGTGTGTGACTGTGGGGTGTGTGAAGAGGCAAAACGCAAAAATAATTATTAAAATTTAATAATGTAAGAAGCACTGGATAGAGAAAAACGGTAATGATGTCCTTTTGTAAAATTAGATCAGGAAATCGAAAATCCAGATTAACTTCAAATAAACATCAAAATATATCTGAAAATGATTTAAAGCTGCAAAGAAAAAACTGACTAATTTCCTAGCCATTTCCATAGTTATACCCAAATTTTCTGACATATTAAAGGTGTTTTTTTTTTCACCAAAATAAGTCTAAAAAAAAAAATTCTTCCTGCGTCTTATATGCTCAAGGTTTGGGTAGGCTTTTGTTACTGGGAAGTGGTGGTTGCAACACTGCGGTACTGGTGAACTAAATTCCAAAACACTCCCTTACAAAATTGTTTCCCAGATTAATTTAGAGCAATTAGCAACTATTATAAGTTATAATTAACATATTACTGGCAAATATTAAACCAGGTTCAGAGGTTGCAAATACATGTAAGGTAGCCGTCTGTAAACAAGAGGTAGCCATGTTTGTTTTGGTGGTTAGTGACAGCCGTTTATAAACAAGAGGTAGCCATGCTTGTTTTGGTGTTAGTGGCAGCCGTCTGCAAACAAGAGGTAGTCATGTTTGTCTTGGTTGTTAGTGGCAGCCGTCTGTCAACAAGAAGTAGCCATGATTGTTTTGGTTGTTAGTGGCAGCCGTCTGTAAACAAGAGGTAGCCATGTTTGTTTTGGTGGTTAGTGACAGCCGTCTGTAAACAAGAGGTAGCCATGTTTGTTTTGGTGGTTAGTGGCAGCCGTCTGCAAACAAGAGGTAGTCATGTTTGTCTTGGTTGTTAGTGGCAGCCGTCTGTCAACAAGAAGTAGCCATGTTTGTTTTGGTTGTTAGTGGCAGCCGTCTGTAAACAAGAGGTAGCCATGTTTGTTTTGGTGTTAGTGGCAGCCGTCTGTCAACAAGAAGTAGCCATGTTTGTTTTGGTTGTTAGTGGCAGCCGTCTGTAAACAAGAGGTAGCCATGTTTGTTTTGGTGGCTACTGACAGTGAAACAGAAGATAAGCTTCGCAAATTCCAACTTCTTTCAGCTGCCAGCGACTGGCTCGCTATTATTTTGAAGTATTGCATATTTTTTATTTTTATTAGAATATGCGTGAAAAAATTGGGGTGCGCCTTATACGCTGGAAACACAATAGTTTATAAGTAAATCAGATTTAAAAAGTGAGATTCACTTAGCAGTTTTTGAATAGTAAACATTTTTTTGCTGTTGAATGTTTGAAAAATGTAATGATTCTAACTTTGTATTCTTTCCCAGGTCTACGACCTTTGGGCACCGCCCTCAGTACTTCCTGTTCAAGCTTCCGTTCTGGGATCCCCATGGGCAGCATGGGAGGTGCGACTAATATGGGACACATAAGCATGGGTGGCATGTCCGGAATGATGGCCACCTCAGGTTTGATAAACACCCCTTCGACCTCTTCCTCTCATCTCCTTCAAGTATCTCTCGTCCCTGAGAACGTGGGTCAGACCCGGGGCCAAACACCAGCACCACGGGGAAACGAAGGTGTGAGTGTGTTGTGAGGGTCAGTCTTCACCACGGAGACAAGTGGTATTTGAACCCCCAGTCTAGACCACAGTGTGTACAGGCTTGTAAGGTGCGAACTGAAGAACTCGGTCCAGACGATGGTCCAGTCGATGGTCTGATAACCATGGCTGGTGAATAAAAAGTGTGGACCACACGAACCTCAATTTTGACAGCAGTAGCTAAAATCACTGAAAAAAACTAACCATCACAAAGTTGTCTAGGCCACAGAAATGAATCATGAGAAATTAATTTTCAACTCTTTGAAATCTGTCGCTTCTGAACGTTTCCCGAGACCAAGGGAATTAAATCCTAAGGAATAAGTGAGCGATAACAAAGAAAAGTAACAAATGAAGACAGTCATGAACCCATGAAACCAGTGTCCCCCTTCCCCCAAAAAAATATGATAGATAACAGGGACCAGTTAATGATGCAGACTTTCCTGAATAAATTAGATAAATAGCTGCCAAAAACTATGTGATCACCAAGTAACTGCTGAAGAGCGTGTGCAGAGAAGGCAGTTGTTAGGGAAGAAATTAATGGACAATACTGACCAAAATCTGTTGACTAGATAGTAGTGGCCAATGTTATTGCAGTCTCACTGCCTCACAAAAAATCAGGAACTTTTTCGAACCTCTAATATACACACGGGGAGTTAACTATTGTCCTGAATCAAGAACCGATGAAAGAACTGTGAAATAATCTGCCCAAACATGTTGTCGCGGAGCCGCTGAATTTTCTATTGTTTTAGCATACTCATTCTGGACTTCTTTGGTGCCCAAATTACTATACGGCAGAATCCTATGTTTACACGTAGATAAACTCCTCAATATGAATTTAAGTTGATCATAAGATGTCTGTAAAAAAAAAAAACGAGCATTATAGTGTTATAGTGACTTGGGACGTTTGTGTGATATTCAGTCGAGGAGCAGAGACTTGAGCATTGGTTTGACTTGCCTGTGGTTTATTTTAAACCCTAAAAAGAAAGTATTACGCTGATGCTTAATGATAGTTTCTTTATAAAATAAATTACTCACTTGTGTGCAGTTTCATGAGTATGAACAAATTGTACGTTTATTTCGTCTATAATTAGATAAGAATGCATTACTCAGGAATTTGAAGCGCCAATAAACAGGATGAATCAGGACCTGACACTTGGTGGGTTTTAACCTTCACTGACTTGTTACAGAACTTCGAAAACCTTGAATTGACTCGACAGATGTTGTTGTCCTTGCACTGCAGCATAAACCAAGAGTGTTCTACTTATTATCACCCAGCCATACTTGTATCATTAACCTATAAAACATATACACGGATACAGAGGTAGGAATAACCGGGCTACTCTCTGTAGCAAGGCAATACTGTAAAAAACTGAAATGTCTATTATACATTACATGAAATACTAATGACAGTAAAATGACAATTTTTATATTGATTGGTGATGTGATATTTTGATACTAGTATCAAGTAAATAAAAACACTGTCGAGCACTTTGTAAAACGTTATCTTAAAAGCGTTCTACGACTTTTAGGGAAAAACGTGAGGCTCGCTGTCTAATATTGCCTGAAAAACACCGAACGAACTTACACAATTCATTGCAATAGAATGACTAAAGAATCAATGATATCATTAGAATTAGTTTCTTCTTTCTTGTTTTTCGATGACACTAGATAACAATGATACAATAAAGATACAACAGGAAGAAGGTACTTATTATCAGTGTTGGCAATGGGAATTGCTGCTTTTGAGGTATATAAACACGTTGATGTATCATATCTCTCTAAGGCACAATCTGCTTTCTGTATGACAGTGACAAGAAAACGTTTACTGATATATTTCCAGAGTGTGGAATGAAAAAAGTTGTTAAGTATATCACAATCCCTTTACATACGAAAGTTTTCCATTTTTTTAATCCGCAAATGAGAAAAGGCGGTGAGGGCCGACAAAGAGCTTACGAGGTACTGTATGTAAGCGATAACGGAGAGAAAAGGCTCTAACCTTTGGCCCCAATGCCCACCCGAACACCATCTACCACGCTCCAGTAAGGTACTCTACGGGACCTGAGGAGAACGTTGGCTCAAGACACAGGATTTCCCACTGCATGTAGTCACCAAAGGTTTATTCATCCTTTTCAAAAGCACACCCCCACCCACTGTTCATGTGTAATAAACCTGTGAATTGTTGGAAATATTATTTTTTAATTTAGTCCCTGTTATTGAGCAACTCTGAATTACTAAAGTTTCCATGAGTGAGAGGTCCTTTAAATTGTACCAAAATATGCACACACACACGCACACAGACACACACACACACACACACACACACACACACACACACACACACACACACACACACACACACACACACACACACATATACACAAGCAATTTCCCTTGTTAATTCACCCACACAATATATATATATATTATATATATAATATATATATATATATATATATATATATATATATATATATATATATATATATTAAAATGTAATAAATATTATTTTCAATACTCTTTCACTTTCAGACTTTGTGTTTAAAAAATAGAAAAGGGATTTTCCATGGTCAGTTTTTGCTAGAGGTGTTAGACAGTGTTTCCCATAATCTATTTCAGTACTCGTTAGAACGGACATAAAGTATTTTTATAATAGCTCCTAATCTATTTCACGTGTGAGTGGCAGAGGCCCCAAATAAAACCCTTCGGGATGTACTATATTGTATATAATGTTTGTGCTACTGTTCTCCAGTCATGAGTCTGGTTCATGATGGTTTTATCACACACAATAAAATGCTTTTTTGTCTTGAGTACAGATTTCTTTATCCTTGTCTCCCCTTTTGTCTTGAGTACAGATTTCTTTATCCTTGTCTCCCCTTTTGCCTTGAGTACAGATTTCTTTATCCTTGTCTCCCCTTTTGTCTTGAGTACAGATTTCTTTATCCTTGTCTCCCCTTTTGCCTTGAGTACAGATTTCTTTATCCTTGTCTCCCCTTTTGCCTTGAGTACAGATTTCTTTATCCTTGTCTCCCCTTTTGTCTTGAGTGCAGATTTCTTTATCCTTGCCTCCCCTTTTGTCTTGAGTACAGATTTCTTTATCCTTGTCTCCCCTTTTGTCTTGAGTACAGATTCCTTTATCATTGTCTCCCCTTTTGTCTTGAGTACAGATTTCTTTATCCTTGTCTCCCCTGAGGTACTGAATTTACAAGCAATTATTCACACTAGTGACAGACTGTCCTGGAAGCTGGAACTACTTTCTATCCATCGCATTACCTTTGCACGTATAGTGGCACAGCACTTCCCATGATAATAATTTACAACCTGCAAATACTTTATAAGTATATGTACATATATACATATACACACACACACACACACACACACACACACACACACACACAACACATATATATATATATATATATATATATATATATATATATATATATATATATATATGTGTTGTGTGTGTGTGTGTGTGTGTTGTGTGTGTGTGTGTGTGTGTGTGTGTGTGTGTGTGTGTGTGCGTGTGTGTGTATATGTGTGTGTGTGTGTGTGTATGTGTGTATTTATAAAAAATAACGTTACTCAATTGTAAATGTAAACTAAAGAACTTATATCCCTCAGTGTACGTACACTGAGGCATGTAAGTATCTGTGTATATACACAAAGATATTTAATCCTTAATTTAATCCTTGGTCTTTAGCAGAAATATTAAATAATAATAATAATAATAATAATAATAATAATAATAATAATAATAATAATAATAATAATAATAATAATAATGAATTTATATGACCATTATTAATATTATTATTATTATTATTGTTATTATTATTATTGCATTCTTTGGGGAAGTTGTTCAACCAAGTGTCTTATACATCGCCTGGGGAATGGAAAGCAATCTGTTGTA